TAAACCAGAATTAGTTCTGGTTTGGCCCAAACCAAGACAAGGACCCTGAATGAAAACAGCCAGTTCTGGCTGTTAAAATCTAAAACTAGGAAACTATGGTAAAAGTGATCATTGTTACTGCTTTTCATTAATCTGCAACCAAGAAAAAAGTGTCTTTGTAATGAAAAGCAAAAACCAATTGCTTGGTAAAGCATTGTAGGTCAAAGACTTGGAAACACTTCTGAGTCATTAAATAAAAAACTTATTGGAATCAGTTATTATTGTGAGTTTATCTTCTCATATTTGCACAAAATTGACCCTCCCATTGTATTGTTACATGGACCATTTATTACTAGGAGTGGAATTCATATCTTAATAAGAGAGGAGATCAAAAGTTGAAGCCACCAAATTAAAATGTACACCTGAAGTCTGCGAGAAGATCAAGTGGCTCAGATGCAGGGTAGGCATGAGAAGATGCATGCAAGAATGTCAATTTCAAAACAAATATCTCCAAAAGTAATTCTTCTCTGGGTTGTTTTTTTTTTTTTTTAATCTCAAACTCAATACAATTCAACAAATAGAAAGAATCTTCATTGTTTCACAGAATCACAGAATCACAGAATGGTAGGGGTTGGAAGGGACCTCTGGAGATCATCTAGTCCAACTCCCCTAAAAAGCAGGTTTGCCTAGAGCAGGTCACGCAGGTGCATCCAGATAGGTTTTGAATATCTCCAGAGAAGGAGACTCCACAACCTCCCTGGGCAGCCTGTTCCAGTGCTCTGCCACCTTCAGAGTAAAGTTCTTTGTCATGTTCAAGGAGAACTTCCTGCGCTCCAGTTTGTGCCCATTGCTCCTTGTCCTGGCTCTGGGCACCACTGAGAAGAGCCTGGTCCCATCCTCTTGACACCCAACCTTTAGATATTTATGAGTGTTGATAAGGTCCCCTCTCAGTCTTCTCTTCTCCAGGCTAAATAGCCTCAGGTCTCTCAGCCTCTCCTCGTAGGAGAAATGCTCCAGCCCCCTAATCATCTTCGTAGCCCTCTGCTGGACTCTCTCCAGTAGCTCCCTGTCCTTCTTGAACTGGGGGACCCAGAACTGGACACAGGACTCCAGGTTTCGCCTTACCAGGGCAGAGTAGAGTGGGAGGATGACCTCCCTCAACCTGCTGGCCACACTCTTCTTCATGTACCCCAGGATACCATTGGCCTTCTTGGCCACAAGGGCACACTGCTGGCTCATGGTCACCCATCAGAGCTCCCAGGTCTCTCACTGCATTACTGGTGGCGCCCTGTTCTAGAACAAAATTTAAAACAGAATCTTATAAATGCCAAGGCACTTTATTTATTTTTTTTTTTAAAGAAAATGAGTATGACTATCCTCACAAAACAAAACAAATTAATTCTCTCCAGGGCCTTTGTTGTTTTCATAAATCTCTATTACCATACCATTAGAAACACAATGCTTGAATGCAACAGGCTCTGTCATGCACAAGGCTGTACAAAGAGAGCTGTACAAACAGAACAAAAAATCTTTGTCCAAAGACCTCACACTTCAGGTATGAGAAGCAACAGACAGCAGATGGATACTGTGACGGAGTCAATATAAGCCATACGTTGATGTAGAGTCTTAGTGACTGACCATTGCTCACTGCTCTGTTTGGTTTCTAGATCAAGAGAGTTGTGAGGAAAGTCTTGAGCGTTGACAAAGTAATTTTGTAGCTATTGATGGACAGCTCTTCCCAGGCATGAGGGAAAGTAGTGAAAGCAAGAAAGCGTTTGTTAAGGTGGCAGAAAGGGTAGTGGAGGCCAGACATTAGGAGAAATTAATACAGGAGTCAACATTTCAGTGCTGAGTATGTTAACTGTTTTGGACAAGCTGGATTAACACACAGCTTGTGGAAATACCTAACTTCTGTTTGACATAACCCAGGAGGCAGAGCCAATGCAAGGTGCTCAGAAGCAGAGTGGGAAGGAAGACCAACATGGTTAAAGGGGTAGGAAAATGAACAGACACAAGAACACTTCATGTGTCATGGCCACCATAAGGCTTCACACTGGTGTCATCAAGCGAAGCCATGGAAGAGACTTTCAGATGTGTGTGCATCTTATATACTACAGATGAAACTCAGGGAAGTCCCTAACACTTTTACACTGCTTTTAACATCATGGCATCTTCACTGGTAGCATTCTAATGCTGCAATGTCCACACTGGCAATTTGTTACAGAAGTCTTCTGTAATGCTGCATGGAGTTACTGAAGAACGGTAAGAAACTGCTGCATTTCTCATATAGTCTTATTTTGCTGTCAGTGAAAACATTCAGCTCAATATGATGTACGTAACTGTATGACTTGTAAAATCATAACCCTTTATAAAAAATGCTGAAAATCTTTTGGACTGAAAAGCGTCACTGAAAGGCCCAGCTCAGGTAGGTATATGCTAAACATCAACCACATAAGTACCTACAGTCAATAACAAAAATGCTGTCTGTATCCACAGGTACCTGAGGTGTTACTACTGGGCGGTTCGTACTTTAATCACCATCGGTGGTCTTCCAGAACCACAAACTCTGTTTGAGATAGTTTTTCAACTCCTGAATTTTTTCTTGGGTGTCTTTGTCTTCTCCAGCTTAATTGGTCAGGTACATAAAAAAATCATTAACTAGATATGTTCAAATTATTGTAATGTAGTGATAACACATTCAATTTAATGGAGTTTAGTTCTGGGGAAAAGTCTAGCTTGCATTTGAATGTCCCTCTTTTTAACTGTCATCCATAATTATTCTTCTGACAAACACGTGTTTAATCAGTTCCCAGTTTTGTAGCCATTTTGCACACAAGCTGATTTAAATCCAAGACTCTGCAGAACACGGATGATTCTTGAAATTATGTATAATTCCTTTCTTCTTCCTCACAGCCAAGGGGATAGTTCCTTGACATTCAAATTATACTGTTAAATCTGATACAAAAATTATAATATTAACATGTATAAATTATTGACTAAGTCATGCTTGATACTACTGCCAATAGAATACTGTTAATAGAAATCACATTATTTTTGTCAAACCAGAACTCTACTCTCCTTCATAAACTACAATATATTTGTTAACCTGAAATTCAACTGTTTTCTATTTCTCTTGGTTCTCATTTGGCAGAAGGAAAAAAAAAATAGCCTATAGGACAGCAAATCAGTTATATTTCCAAAGTAACATAACTGAAATATTTCTGGCTTGTAACTATTAAACCTGGGCTTTAGATCCATAGGTTTTAAAATACCTTGACTACAGAAAAACAAATGCCATGGTTCCTATGTGAGACTATGTCTTATCGGATACCTGTAGAAATCATTCCAGACTTTTTGATATGTACATGTCTGTTATTGGAAGAATTATTACCAAAAAATAAAGATGAAAACTGAAATGTAATTTTTATTTTGAATACAGGATTGGAGAAGTTCAATCAAATGGCTATAAATCACCTATATCTCTTGCTGTTTAGAAGTGCAAGAAGACATAACTACCACAAAACAGACTCTTGCCTACAGAATTTAAAATTCATCCAAACCCAAGAATTACCAGAAATAAAATTAAGTAGTTCTTATAAAATATTTCTTCTGGAAAACTATTGAATTCAAGTATATTGGATTAAACTTCAGGGTTTATATCTATATTTTTTTTCATAAATTGATATAACTGTCAATGAAAGTACCATTCCCCAAGAAGATTCTGCAGATTAGTTTTTGTAACCAGTATAGTCATTTGCAGACTTAAACCTTAAATTTTAACACACAAACAGCTTCATTGCAGTTTGTTACAATTCCTGTTTATGAAGAGCTCCTAATATTACTGAGTTATTCCTGGTTTAGCACACTTGCCTAAATATTGTTATTCCTGTTGGAATCAATTGCATTTCCATAATAAAGAGCAGAATTCATCCCACTGGCACACTAATCCTTGGCCTGGTATCGATCTAGTTATGCTTTTGAAGAAGGAATATCTCTGACCATTAACTCATGCATTGTCTAAAAACTTAAGTAAATTTCTCTTGGAATGTTAAATAATGTTCCTGCACTAAAAACTTCAAGATCACCTTCAGCTCAAAGTGCATTTTTAAGACTGATCTAGATTATCTTAGTTATTTAAACAGTGGCAGGACAACTGATGTTATTAGAGAAATTTAGCCCAGTTTGTTTCACTCTAATTTGCATTGCACACCAAGTGCAGAGTAGCTTTATTATGGACTTTTAAGAAAAGCTTTGTCTTTTTCATCCATGTCCAGAAATATGAGATGGTAGAATAAGATGAGAACTGCAAATGATTCCTTTAAAAGCATAAATATAGACCTTCCAATACAATTAGATTAAATCTGTAATACTTCTGAAAAAGTGGATGAAGCACCTATTCAAAACACGCAGCCGAATGTATAATGAATCAGTGATTTTGCAAACAAGTGTTCTATTCTTTTTGTATGTTGTTGACAAGATATTAAAATCAAGGCTATTTTTGCTGAAATGTGTAGTAACAACTGATGTTTGCAGATGAGAGATGTAATTGGAGCAGCTACAGCAGGACAGAACTACTACCGTTCCTGTATGGACAACACTGTCTCCTATATGAACACTTATTCTATTCCAAAAGTGGTCCAAAATCGTGTTCGAACCTGGTACGAATACACATGGGACTCGCAGGGAATGCTGGGTAAGGCTTTCCAACTCCAGTTACATAGCAACGCCAAGTGAGGGTGGTTGTACAGGTACAGATAGAGGATGAAATTCCCACTTCTTTTTTTCTGAATTGCACACAAGAAGTGAGAGGAGGGTATTCAGTTTATTTTAGAAAAAAAAAACCTCCAAAGCAATATGATACTTACCACCTTACAAATTCTATTCATTTATATAATGTTCTGGTTATAACTTTAGACAACGTATGTCTAAAGTTCAGATAACTGAAAAGACAATAGCTTAGTAAAAGCATATTAGCAGCTTCCTCACTTGAACCGATAAATGCTAGAATAGCTCCAGGAATTTATTTTTCTGTACAATGTTCATTGCTAGGAACATTCTTTCATCCTTCCTTTATATTTTCTAACTAACAGAGTTGTTTTTTTTTTTTTTTTACAGATGAATCAGAATTACTGGAGCAGATGCCAACCAAAATGCAATTAGCCATTGCAATTGATGTGAACTTTGCCATTGTCAATAAAGTTGACTTATTCAAAGCAAGTAGCTTTACAGGAGCATGCAGAGATGGGTGGTATCCCTGAGACAGAAACCTTGTTTTGTGCATCTTGCAACACTTAAGATTGCGTTTGTTAATATGCAAGGCAAAATAGGTGTAACGGATATCTCAATTAATGGAGACATTCTTTGATTTTTTTTGTGTCAAAGCAGAGATTTAAAAAAAAGCAAATGAGATCAAGACACAATTCAGTTATACCAACATACTAAAGCTGATGTTATGGTCAGACTGTAAGTGATTTCAGAGTATAACTAATCTCAAGAGACAGACATAGAAAAATGTAGTTTGTAACACAGTCCAGCTTGCTGTATACCACCTAGGTCTGCCTGAGAGATCAAGAATGCTATGTGTTCTGGCAACATAACTTCGATGTAGTGGATGCTACTTTTTTGTAACTTTTTGTCCAAAGGAGCTTTCTCTTTATTATGAAGATAGTTTTCCAGAGTCACAATTTAAATGTGGTACTTAAGACTGGATTTCTGACACCAAAAACAAGGAGACACCGCATTTTTAGAAGTAGTATTGATATACAGTAACCTTAACACAGATTTTATTAATAGGATAATTGCAAGAAATCACATGATATCTCTGTATAAACATTACATAGCTGCACAGTTTCTGCCGCACTTGCTGAAGACATGGAATTCATAGATTCATACAACATTTGGCATGATCTGTTTTTTTTTCCCTGGATCAGTAAAATAATTTCATATAAAAGACCCGTAAAGCTCTGAATATAGCACTAACTGAGCTTCCAGAGAAAATTTAGATGTACAGAAGCTTCCTTTGTAAAAAATGAAGAGATGTTCAACACAGAGCACTTTATAAGTATTTAAAATGACAATTCTTTCAGTCTTTTCTCTGCTCTAAAAGCTGATCCTTGGATTCCTGTATCATTCATGTATTGTTGGGTTCTGCTGCCCACTGTAAGCACTAAAGGTCACTTGTGCTACTGAATTAATACAGCAATCAATTCTAATCATTTTAACAGGGGTGCGATACTCAGATGATATATGACATGCTGCTGAGGTTGAAATCCATTGTGTATTTACCTGGTGACTTTGTCTGCAAAAAGGTGAGCATTCTTGTCTCTTTCAAATAATAATTATAGTATGTGTTTTAGAAAAAGAGTTCAGATATTGGTCAACAGTGTCCTTTAAATAAAATTAATCCTGAGCGAATTAGATAGCATAAAAGTAATTAAGGTACTCTGTGTAATAATAACAAATGTGGTCTCAAATTTCAACCTAGAACAGGACGATATGGATTTTATTATTTACATTATTAAACATAAAATTATAGTAATATGGGAAAGTATTTAATGTAAATATGGCTTATCTAATTATACGGCATGAAGTTTTAATATTTAAAATACAGCTAGCTTAATTTTTTTTATACATATATACATATAAACCTAGCCTACAGATCTCAGTCTATGATGCTTTGCACATGCTTCATTTGTGTATTCAGGAACTCTGAAGTGGAACTACCAAGAATGTAGAAAATACACTGCATCCCATACTGCTCCTTACAGCAGGACCTGATGTTGCTTTACCTTCACCATAGCTCTGAGCCATCTCTAGACGTCCAGCTGAATGCTGTCACACTGTCCCTTAGCAAAGACATCTATCTTCTCTTAGCATTTTGGCTCAAACATGCCTTATAGAAACAGAGATAGATAGCTCAACTTCTGACCAAGCAAGACAAATCTCTTTTCAGGAGGCATGTAAACATACTCACAGGCAGTGAAGGATGTACGTAAGGCAAGGCAGAGGGGTGAAGTTTCAGTACTGTAACTGTTGTGGCAAGTGACCCACAGTTCACACCACATCCAGAAGTGACGATCAGAACCCCTTAACTTGTCATTAGCAGTTCTGGTCCAGCATGTTCACTAAGGTCCTGCTCCCTCCAAGAGTTAAGTATATGATCCTCTTCCCGAGTGCTGAATTAGTCCCATGACTCCACAGTGTAGGGAGTTAAACATTTGTGAATGCACCGAAGGATCAGGAGTGTCCCTTCAAAGACCAGTCCCAGAATTGCTGTTGGCTAGGAAGGGTGGAAGAGTAGTTTGGTGTGTTTGCTTGCAAACTGCACATGGAAGGATCTTAGACTGCAGCTGGGACTCTGTCACAATGGAGATAATAAATGACAGTAATGGATTCAAGGTCTTGATACTGCAGTCAGATGCAAGGAGTTCTCAACAAGGATGGATTATGAGAAATTGAAGTATCAAATTATTCCAGCTTGATTGAGAGCTAAAAGGCCACTCACTTGTATAGATCAACTATGTGGTCAACAACCATATAATCCTATTAATGCTGTAACACGTAGTAGGGAATAAAACCCTGTTGGAACTGTCTCTTCCTTGGATGTATGTTGGCTTCTTCATACTTTATCAAGCAGGCTCAGCATGCAGGCTTGGAGCAAGGGAAGGGATAGGAAGTGCAAGACCTACATTTACAGTCCTGGCTTTGTTGCTGCTGCCTTTTCACTTTTAAAATGAAAGTGCAGCTTTACCTCAATTACTCCAGCTGCACAAGTGGAAAAATAGTTATTTGCCTGCCTTATTGAGATGTTGTGAGGAACTTCTATGATCCTTCTTCTGAAATCAGTTATATTATTCCAGTTTGTCTGCTTTTTATTGTATATATTGACGTCACATCTTTGAATCCTAGTAGATGATGTGGAGAATAATAAATAAATCAATAATATCTTAAATCATACAGTGATTACATAAAAGTTGACAAAGTTTTGAATGATTGTTTACTCTTATTTTCCTTTTAAATTAAGTGATTACTAGAATTAATAGTGTAAAAAATTATGCTTTTTAGACCACGAAGCATAGGCTTTTTTGCATTTCTCTGTTATTAATTACACTGCTGCAGTGCTTTATTTTCCACCAGAAAAGCTGATGGAAATCACTGCTACAATCCTTATTGTCTAGTCTTCTTTTTCCAAGCTGGCCTAGATGGTCTTACTTGTATTCAAATATTGTCCCACATCACAATTAGAACTGCCAAAGTCAGTCCTTGCACTTGTGCTCAGTGCTAGGAAAAGTAGCGCAAACATTTATTTCTCCGTGATACCAGTAAACTTTTTTATGAGAGTGAAAAGATACTTAAAGAAGAGTCTGTCGGATTATTCTAACAAAAAAAAACAAACACTGCCCTGCTAAAACATGGGATCTTGATGTGTCTGTGTGCCCAGGGAGAGATTGGCAGAGAGATGTACATCATCAAACAGGGGGAAGTTCAAGTCCTTGGAGGCCCTGATGGCACAAAAGTCCTGGTTACACTAAGAGCAGGAGCTGTCTTTGGGGAGATCAGGTAAGTCCATCGCTATTTTTAACGCTTTCTTTAGAACTGGTCAAATAATCAATGGTTGTTTAACTTCTCTGTGGTAAGCATGACAGCTACCATGGGTAGGGTAGAAAGTGGGTAGGATTGACAGGTAGGACACTGAGCAAGGAGATGCAGGTAAGTGAAGGAAAATCTAAGAAGTGAAGTATCAGAGACTAATCTGGCAAGATCTGAGACAAGTGTTTTGGGCATTGTACGCAGGGATATGCAAGCAAATTTCTCCTTCAGCATTTAAAAAACTTAACACATCTTCCCATTCAGAGGTCTTCAATACAGCAGGACCAAATGCATTTTATTGCCTGTATAGTGAGTCTAGGTGCACTTATACAGCAGATGGTAAAAACTGTAACTAATTTCCAACAAAAGAGACAAAAAATCTAAAATAGTAAATAAAACTAGTTCATTTAGGAGCTGAAGTAGGCATTAAGTTGCCAAAAATAAGGCATCCACATTCGAAAATGTATTTGTTTCAATGCATACAAAACAAGAAAAAGGCTGACAGACCAGATTTTTGGGTTTGAGTTTATCTGGAGAAGAAAATTTCTCTCTGGTAGCTACAAATGCTTTTTATATTTTCCACGTGGTTGCTATGCAAAATCCACTAACTCTTATGTGTCGTGCTCCCCAATTAGTCAACCAAGTGCTAGATTTTAGGCACTGCATCCCCTGCTGAGGTTGGCCTGAGGAAAAGTAATAAAATACATGTGCTGCTGCATGTGATAAACTGGATCCTTAATTTCTTCCAGCTGCTTTCCTGTTATTGTTAATCCTCTTGCTGGCAGCTTTAATTTGCCTTTTGAAAAGTGGTAATCAGCTCTGTACCATGTTTACATTTGTCTTCTACTTGGGTCTCCCTTTGTAGTAGGGGAGGCATTCACGTTTATCCACTGATGGGCACATAGAACTTGCTTAGACCTTAAGTGGAAAACACCTGATATACCCCGCAGATACAGACCTTTTTCACTGAGTGGGAAAATGAAATTATATCAGCTCTTTGAGAGAAGGTTATTTGAAAGGTGTTTCTCTGTGTGACAATAAATACCTGAGCAAAGCCTCAAAACAAAATGCTGTATTGTAAGTTACGTGGAAAGGCTGAAAATGCACTGTAAGGGCTGAATTATGAAAAGATAAAAAGAAAAAGCTACAGTAGCCGAGATATGTAACATGCACATAATTTTCAATTATTTATCAGTCTTTTATTTGGAGCAAGGACTTTATTTTTTAAACTGAGAAATGATAATGATTGGTTTTAAAACAAGGAAGGGATTTTCAAACTTTTGATCTAATACAGGTGAGGACTTTTTTCCATGTGAGAAATACACAACAGCCTTTAAAGATTCATTTCCCAATATGTGTTACTCTTTACATTATTGCCAACATGGCAAGTAAAACCCTCAGCAGTGCTACATTAGACTTCTAGTCTTGTTTTATTCATCGTTGACCTACTGCAGTGGCACACCCATTCAGACACATGTAATTTGCATATCAATGTCAGGCAGCAGAAAAAACACAGCAACTGGCAGACCTCTCCAAAACTGAAGAAAAGCAAAGACATGAAACACATAGTGAATTGGTAGAGATTTATCCTCTTCCTCGTGGCAAAGTGTTAGAAAATAATGAGTTTGTATAGCGCCTTTCTATATAAGTTTTCTCAAGGTCTTCTGAATACTGTACAGCAGAAGCAAATGAAAAAAATACTCTTTAATGGATGAAATACTGCTTCATTTAGCACATCCAAGTTTTCCCCTCAGTACTCATAGTGTGGTTATCACCTAATATCAGACTGATTTCCTTCTGATTTCTGATTCAAGATTTGTTTAGAGAAATATGACAGCTTCCTTCCAAGTGGTTTAACTGCATGATTTATAAGACACTTGCTATCTAATCTCACTCTGTTCAAAGTGCATGTAAATGATGCTTAAAATGTCTCTGAGGACAATGGAGTTGAAGAAAGCAAAAAACGTTTATTCTGAAAAATTTCCCTGAATTATACTAGAAAGCCAATGCAAGACTAGTGCTCAAACAAGTCCTTTGCCAATTTCATCCTTGAAAATTATTACAGAAACAGATTAAGTAATAACAGTTGCCTTCCAATTAACATCTTACATTCGTTACTACTTTCCTGTATAGATAATACCAGTTTGAGAAAGCAAAACAATATCAGAGGCAAACAGATTGGTGCCTTAATGAGAGCCTGTCTGCACTGACAGTTAAAAAAGAGAAGAATTCAGCTATAAGGCAACACTTCATCAGCCCAGAAATATTTACACTTTAAGCCAGATGTCCTCATTCATCCATTTACTGCTATTTCACTAGAACTATCTCCTATCAAAATGGTAATTCTGGAAAAATTAAAACATTTCTCCATTACAGGTAAATTTTTGACAGGAAGATCTTTAAATGTTTGGTCTCAGCTTTAGCCTTTCAGCTGTTTTGTAACTTTAACTTTTATTTTCAAAAATCAAAACTACAGGGAGTATTTAGCTATATGAAAGATTACATTTTCCACTTTGGCCCAGGATTTCCTTCTCATGAAGTGGCAGCTGCTGCTGCTTTTCGATGAGTCTGCCCTTTAGTGTCTGACAGCCTGCTCAGAAGCATGATCCAGAGCTATTTCCCTTTCCTGACTAACCAGCTCTCCATATGCCCAAAGGTCCTGAGCTGAGCCGCCAGAATCCTGCATATTCAACTGATATGCACACTATTCCCTGGATCAATTTGCTAATTTCAATGAAGAGCAGCTTCCTAGAGAGATTATATATTTTTAAAAAAAAAAAAAAAAAAAAAAAAAAAGATAAGATAAGTCATCACCGAGGATGAGGAAAAGGCTGAGGTACTTAATGCCTTCTTTGCCTCAGACTTTAATAGTCAGACTTGTTACCGTCAAGGTAATCAGCCCCCTGAGCTGGAGGGCAGGGATGGAGACCAGGAGGATTCCCACATAATCCAGGAAGTGGTAGTTAGTGACCTGCTATGCCAATGGGATACTCACAAGTCTATGGGGCCGGACGAATTCTCTCAGGCTCCGCCTGAGAATACCGAGGGAGCTGGCAGAGGAATTTGCCAAGCCACCAGCAATCCTGGTTAACGGGAGAGGTCCCAGAAGACTGGAGGCTTGCCAGCGTGACTCCCATCTACAAGAAGGGCCAGAAGGAGGATCCAGGGAACTACAGGTCTGTCAGCTTGACCTTGGTACCAGGCAAGATTATGGAGTGGTTCATCTTGGATGCGCTTGCACAGCAAGTGCAGGACATCCTGGGAATCAGGCCCAGCCAGCATGGGTTCATGAAAGGCAGGTCCTGTTTGACCAACCTGATCTCCTTCTATGATCAGGTGACCTGCCTAGTGGATGAGGGAAAAGCAGTGGATGTTGTCTACCTGGACTTCAGTAAGGCATTTGACACAGTCTCCAACAGCATCCTATTGGACAAGCTGGTGGCTCGTGGCTTAGACAGGTGTACTCTTCGCTGGGTTAGAAACTGTCTGGATGGGTGAGCCCAGAGAGTCGTGGCAAATGGAGTTAAATCCAGTTGGTGACTGGTCACATACGGTGTTCCCCAGGGCTCATTTTTGGGGCCGATCTTGTTCAATCTCTTTATCACCAACCTGGATGAGGGGATCGAGTGCACCCTCAGCAAGTTTGCAGGTCACATGAAATTAAGCGGGAGTGTCGATCTGCTTGAGGGTAGAGAGGCTGTGAAGAGGCATCTGGACAGACTGGATTGATGGGCTGAGGCCAACCGTATGAGCTTAACAAGTCCAATTGCCGGGTCCTGCACTTTGGTCACAACAACCCCATGCAGCGCTACAGGCTTGGGGATGAGTGCCTCAAAAGCTGCCAGGCAGAAAAGGACCTGGGGTTGCTAGATGACAGCTGGCTGAACATGAGCTGGCAGCGTGCCCAGGTGGCCAAGAAGGCCAACAGCATCCTGGCCTGTATCAGAAATAGTGTGACCAGCAGCAGTAGGGAGGTGATCATGGCTCAGCACTGGTGAGACCACACTTTGAGTACTGTGTCCAGTTTTGGGCACCACAGTATAGGCAAGACATGTGTCCAGAGAAGGGCAACAAAGCTGGTGAAGGACCTGGAGAACAGGGCTTATGAGGAGCAGCTGAGGGAACTCGGGTTGTTTAGTCTGGAGAAGAGGAGGCTGAGGGGAGACCTTATCACTCTCTACAACTACCTGAAAGGAGGCTGTAGTGAGGTGGGTGCTGGTCTCTTCTCACAGGTATTTAATGATAGAACAAGAGGGAACGGACTCAAGCTGCGCCAGGGTAGGTTTAGGCTTGACATGAGGAAAAATTTGTTCACTGAAAGGGTTGTCAGGCATTGGACTAGGCTGCCCAGGGAGGGGGTGGAGTCACCATCCCTGGTGTTCAGAAGATGTATAGATGTGGTGCTTAGGGACATGGTTTAGTGGTGAGCTTGGTAGTGTTAGGTTAATGGTTGGACTTGATGATCTTAAAGGTCTTTTCCAACCAAAATGATTCTATGATTCTGTGATTCTATCACTTTGACAACTTTACACCTCAAAAACAATTTTGCTAGCAGAAGAATTCAAAAGTTATCATCTCATACTAATATTACAGCATTTCACACTAACAACTGGCGTAAAAAATGTAAGATAAAAAAAGCAAATTTTTCAATTAATATAGATATTACATTATCAAGAACCATTGCAAGGCAAATACAGTTATTTTAAAAAATTTGGTCTATCATGTAACTCTTAGAATAGTAGACAAAACTTCAGTGATGAAGTCTATAACGCTGTCCTTAGTCAAAGAAGATTCTGTTTCAGCAAGGACTGCCTTGTAAAATTCACCTCACATCGCCATAATGAAAAAGCTGATCTCTTTAGTCCTAGTTCGCCTTGTTAAAATGAGCTTTCTGTTAGAAGCCTGAAAATGATTGTTCAATGACTTGTTGAGAAGTGATTCATCAGAACTCAAAAGCTGTTTGCAATTTTCTTTAGCTGCTTTTCTTATTGTGTAAATAGTTCTAGTCTATCTGAGAAATTGTACAGAATTGTTTAAAAGAAGGCAATATACTGCATTTTCAGCTTGAGTTCATATATTGATTGCTGTCTTGGGTTGCAGAAAAATACTCTGTGTGTGTGTATGTTGTGTGTATAAAAATAACCTTGTACCAAGAGCTGCAGAGGTCTCACTATCCTTTATAAATCAAGCATAATACATTATCTATATGATCTAATATTTATACATATATTATGTAAATATATTTAATATTAAAACCAATATTTATTTATCCTTGATTAATATTTTAGATAAATATTAATTCATGTTTTATGGGGTCTAGACTATCCTTTATTAAGAACTTTTAAATTTAGAGATTACTAAATATCCTCTAAAAATATTAACTCATTAGGAAATATTTAAGGGATACATTTTAGGGTAAATCTCCTTGAATACAGTGACAAAGTAATTTTAGTACTAAGAGCAAAATGCAACTTCTCTTAATTATCACCACAGCTGAGAAGTGAAGCCTCTTCATTTCATTTGCTTAATGCAAGACGAACAATTTAATTTTTACTTGTACAACTTCTAATTTTCATGTGGATATCCTTCCTATGGCCAACTGCTGCTTGCTAAACTGGTCTAATACCTCACTTTCAAAATAAAATAGCCTTTTTCTGGCAACCACATTTGTAACTGTCAGCCTGAAAGACCTTCCTAATCCATATCATTCAACTTGCCAGCATTCAGAGGTGAGATGTGGTATGTGAGACAACTGAAAACCCACAGAAGTTACTCACTCAGGAAAATTAAAATCCTCGGAGAATCATTCATTCATTGTAAATAACTCTTCCAATAATAACGGACTTGTGCTGCTCTACTTCTCATGTAAATAATTTTCAACAATAAAATTGAGGAAATGCCAAATTCACATGAGGACTAAAACAAATGCAGTCCTTGCAGAGGCTGTCTCTTGGGAGAAGTGTCTCTATCTAGCAAGACTTTTCACAGTCCTCAGCATCTCCATATGCCTGATCAGTAGTGAAAATTTGTCTTCCTCAGTCAATAAGGTATTTATAATCCCAACTGTAAAGGGCCTTCACAGAACATCAGCTAGAACAGCTGGGAACATAAGTGAGCTTTAAGATGACTTAGAGAACCACCAGCAAAGCGATTCCTCACTAGGCCAAGTAACCATGTGACTGATTTCTGTTTATTTTCATTCCAGCCTATTAGCTGCAGGTGGAGGAAATCGAAGGACAGCCAATGTGGTGGCTCATGGTTTTGCCAACCTTTTCATTCTGGACAAGAAAACACTTAATGAAATCTTGGTGCACTATCCTGACTCAGAAAAACTCCTCATGAAGAAAGCAAAGTATGTCCTAACAACAGTTTTTAAGTCACATTATTTAGCTGCAGAATGGACAGTTGTGGCTTCTAGACAGATTTGCATTCCTTTCTTGTAACAGACATAAGCACATTTGTATTTAGAGGTCAGATCTGCCTGGTAGTATCTAGTGGAAGTCATGGGCTTGGCAGGGATTCCAAGGGTTGCGGAAATATGATACGTAGATGAAGTACTGAATGTAGTTGCCTTCTCCATTGTATTTAAGGTAACAGAACAAATAGAAGATACAAGTGCATATCAGGACTCCTTACATAGTCAAGGAAGAAACTGCAGGACAAATGTCAGTTAAGGAGTAGGTTTTCAAAGATGCAACCGAGCACTCACAATTAATTCTACAGAGATACGCTTCAATGCAGCCACAGACTTGTATGCATTTCCAAAACCTTACACAGTAGTTAGGAATGGATTTTAAAGTAAGGCCCGGCAAAACGTAAGTACAGATTAGAGAGGTGTGCACTTTGCTCAAAAGGATTCTGAAATGGGATTTCAAACCCAAACTGCTTTTCATCTTGCTTTGGCTGTAGCTTGCTAGGAACACCATTTCCCCAGCTCTGAAAGGACTAAATATTGTCAGATTTTGTCATAAAATTATGACAAATTGAGTACCTTGCAACCTTGTAAAAGGTCCAAATACTTGAAACACTTTGTTGTTCTTAGTATACTTCAGCACTCTTATTGCTCTCAGCTGCTGCCTTGCATTGCTATCAAAGGTTGGAAGGTTGATCCCAGACTTGAAATTCCACCAGAGAAGACTAAACATAGCACAGGAGTGACATTTTGTTTAGTGGAAGTGCTATCAGATGGTTGCATTCAGCATTTTTCAACAGCCCTGTCTGTCAAACTACAGTATCTTGAGAATCACCAAGTCCCTGAGGAACATGGAACCTAGACACAGAATGGGTTGATCGCCCAATTTTCAAAACCAGCGTCAACAGGTAGATAGGTGGAACAAATCCACTGACTGACAGTCCCCAGCATTTACCCTTCCTGACTTTTCTCCAGCTTCTTTCTAAACAGTTGTATGACCACCATTACTTGTTATTTCTGTCTCTCTGTCCCATGCTACCTTCTGCTTTCTTGCCCACCCTAATCATATCCTGCCAAGCCATTAAATTCTGCTTCCTCCAGGTAGCCTTTCTCAACTGCAGGAGCTTAATCATCCGTCCTTCATATCTGCACTCCCATTTGAGCTCAAAGCCCTCTTTAGATATCAGACTAGATACAAGATATCATGTTTAATTCTAAAGATATGCAGTACCTGCCCTGTGCTGGAGGCCATGTATTCTGCTCACCTGTTTAGGCATCCACTAATTCTTCCAAAACTCCTGTGCTCTATGTATCGTCAGCCATGTCTCTAGAAAAACTAGGCACCAACAGGACATTTGTGTACTGTTTTGATAAAGATTGCAGTTATTTTCAGTGTTGGAATCAAGTTATCAGTTGCTTTGCCCTGGAAGGTTTAAGAGTTCTCTGTGGGATTGCATTGGCTATCCCACACCTTTAAAGGGCTCCTTAAAATAAACTCAAAAGACCTATTCAAGCAAGAAATTGGTTCTATTATCACCTGCCTGATAGTCACTGCATGGTCTTTACATAATAAACCCATGCAAGCTGCTGAAGTGTACTTTCTAGATTTATGACAATAAAACTTAAAAAGCAGTAAAATCTTCACTTCTGAAATTCCCAAAGTTACAAAGTACAAGATGCTGGAGAAAACTATAGTATTATGGGATTTATTGTACTTCAGACTTCAAGTATAGTCCTTGTTCACAAAAAGCCTTAAGTTAAGGTTTTTGCAAGGATAGAAAAGTTGCCTTGAAAACTGTACAGTAATCTAACAGAAACTGAAAGCATGGGAAGACTGCTTTTCATGGGTTCCATCTATTTTAGAACTGTAGTCTAATCTTTATCATCAGTCATCCTCACTTCTTGTCATTACGGCTGCAAATCACTACAGCTATGTAATGGTGTAAGAATCCCGTCTGCCACACAATTGGCAATAGTTTTTTTTATCTTCAGGGCATCTTCTTCTACTGAAGAAGACCAAAAATAAGTACTACTGCTTAACATGACATATGAGAGACGAGCCATGCTGGAAGTTAGTTTGGTAAACTATTACTTCCAGAAGCATCAGCTGGACTCCAAACTGAACACTAAATGATCTCGGAATTTGCATCCAGAAGGTCAGTTAAGAGAGTGCCACCTCAGGTACAAGGCATCTGTCCCTGTCCATACTACTTCTTACCTCATAAAACTCTCATCTCCTTTGTGACACCTTAATTTGAGCCTGCACTTGTTCATTCTCCAGGATACAGGTAAGCAACTCCAAACTTGAACAGTAGCCTCCAACTCTGCCAGAGCCTAAGGAAAAACCCTTACCCTTTCCAGCTTTGCTCTTGCCACTGGGTCTGGGACCAAAAATAAATTGGCTGGAAATGCTGTGAGATTTTCATCCATGAATGTGACATTTTAGCTTTTGCAGGAACTTTGATAGGTTCCATTGTACTGGTGTGTGCTCTCAATCCTTCCTGTGTCCAGGGTGCTGCTGAAGGAGAAGGGGAAACCTCCTCCAGGACCACCAGTGCAACAACCACGAGGCTTGGCCAGTCTTTTTGGGCAGAAACAGGAAACTCCAAAACTGTTTAAAGCGATGCTTGGAGGAAAAGGAAAAGAAGGCCTCGCTAGGCTGCTGCAGCTGAAGAGAGCAGAAGACACTCAGGTAATGCCACAGAACATGGAAAGATACTGGGAGGGCTTGGGCAAACAGAGTAGATGAAAATGTAGCCTTATTGCAATCAACAGCAAAAACTCCCAGTAGCTGAGATATAATTTTTATATATATATATATATATAATCTACCTAATCTTTGTAAATGTTAATTCTAAAATTTGGCTCAAATCTCCCTGGACCTGGACTCTATGCAGAGCAGAGCAAACAAAAACAAAGAAAAAGCAAGGAAAAAAGCAAGCAAACAGAAATCCTCAAAGGAAGTAAGGATAACATAGACTATACAAGGACCCTAAGGGCATCTGATCTTCTAATTTTATGTAAACAACACTAAATAGAGAAATATCCTAACACAGTCATTTGATCCAGCTGACTCAAACACATGGTGAACATTCCAATTCAAAGTCAGATCTCTTGTTGTCACAAATCCTGAAGACAAAATTTCGAGTGTAGCCCACACAGCTAAAACTGATTAAACCTCTAATATACTCCACTTATAAGAAAACTGTTATTTTAGTTGATGAAAAATAATTCCCACGCTGTACTCTGTTCTGAGGAACGTTAATTTCAATGAACCTTCTCAGTTCTACATATTTACCCAAAGGTGGCAGAATCTTTTTCTGTCTTTATAGCTGAACTGGCTAGGTTTCTATTAAATTTAAGTTGAATAACGAACTTCACTTACACAAATGACTGCAACACTATGACTGGAGCAGAAATATTGCCCCATTTAATGTGTATTTGTGACCTTAATAGAAAATAGGCTTGGCCAAGGAACTGGGGCACTGGGCAATGTGTCAAGATTTACATAACACTTTTTCTTCCTATACTAGTGTAGGTACATAAAGGAAGGCAAGACCTAAGGAAGGGTTGTGTGCCCCAAAAATGTGCCTGTTTCATCCTGTTGTATTAATAAGAAGATACTATCACTATCCACAAGCTTTTCCTACGTTTTATGTTGACATTTGATTCTGAAATTGCATTTTTCATTTAGAAACTGATTTTCAGCATCTAAATACAAACTTACATGTGTTGCATAGTATTAACCACAGCATCCATGCTGTGCCTTTCCGCTACATATACAGAAAGGACCTACTTCCCAAATTTCTTCTGCAGCATTGGAAAACATTTAGCTTCTTGTTTCTAGGAACCTCAAGCAGAGAAAAAGCCTGAACAAGAGGAGAAGAAACCTGTAGAGCCCACGGCCTCATCTGCACCCCCTGCACAAAAGGAAGAGCTGAATGCAGATGATAAGCCTAAACCTCCAGTTTTACACAGAAGAACCACTAACGAGTCTCTGGTCATTAGTATGTCTCCATCCCCCAGAGCAGGAGAAGGAGAGATCCTTACAGTTGAAGTTAAAGAGAAAAAAAATAAATAGATGGTGCTTTGGGCTGTGGCCACTTCTATTGTTTCGCTGAATTCAGAGGGCTAGCGTGACGTCGTGTTTGGGTGCAGAAGATACAAGTAGAGACTACTCAAGCGAAAAATCTAACCCAGCTCCTTCATCCTCTCCTGGCACAACAGGACAAATTATTTATATACTTACCTCTTAACCTTGCACCTGAAGAGAGAACTTTTGCTGTAATAGCAATTAGACCTCAGATTGTATTCCACGACCACTTGTTTCTTGTTTGATCCATGCTCTCCCTTATCTCTTACTCTGTCTTGTTCCTGCCTCTCCTCTTTCCTCTCCTGTTTATCCTCACTTTCTTATTGATGTTCCTGTTGCTCAGCTGTCTCTTAATTTTTGTATGTGTTCTTTGCTATTTTCTTTTCTGGTTTCCCATAGTTACCCTTTGCCTTGTTACTGCCCTACTGTTGCTGAGGTTACTTATGTTTCTCTCGATCCTTCTCTCTCCTCCCCTTATACTGCTAATCAGTGACCTGTTTTTGTGACTGGAGCGGCTCAGTGCAGAAAGCTGTGATGCTGTGCATTGGGATGTTTTAGCCTGGGCCAGATGGCTACAAAAAGAGCCTCACTGTCAAAAAATAAAATCACAAAATCCACAAGGGAGAAGCAGAATGCAGAATTATTGCCAGCCCTCTGAAAGCAGAAGCATGTGCTCCAGTTCTCTTTGACTGTGGTGAATAAAGATGGCAAAGACTTAGATGTTCCCACCCCAGGGGTGGCCTTTAACTTTGGGCTGCCGATTTACACACTTGGTCTTCTCAAGGGGTTAGGCATTAATAACTCTGAGGAGCAACCAGTTGATACTGGCTAACTTTTTGGTATCTAAACTGACCACTTCAAAAATTAAGTGTATTTTACAAAAAGCAGGATTTACACCTTCTGGCTCTGTGGTGCACAGTTTCAACCAATGCTCCAGTTGTTCACCTCCATCACAGACCTCAACTGATGGTGCAAACTCAGCCCCGTGTCTTACGGGGCCTGAGCTACATTTACTAAAGTAAATCCTTTATGAGCGCCACAGCTGAGAGAGATAGAGCTTCCTACAAGGAGCTCCCACACTGTCAACCTTCTACATCGGCTCATCACAGAAAGGGATGCAATATTAAACAGAAGGCTGAAACTGTGTTTCAAGCTTAATTCTCAATAACTTTTTT